GAATAAAGACATTCCAAGCTTTCTCAAGCCTCAACACCCTCCCTCCAAGCACAAGTCAAATTAGCCAATCGGGTAAACAAGATTGTGAGGACAAAATCCTAACCAACAGGATAAAACACAGCCTTGCATAGGATAAAAGCTGGAGCTGACTGCCCACCCAGTGTGCTGCTGCGCACCGTTCTGTAGCAGAAGTAAAATTTGCCTTGCCAAGATCCTTTTGTTCTGTAAGGACCAAACTGATTTTGCCTACCTAGAAACTGCTTGACTAAACTCTAGTCAGGCTCAGGAAAGCATTTTAAATAGACAAGGCCTCAGTTATTAGTTCCCTCCAGAGGCAAGGTCAATCTCCATTCTGTACATTAGCCTGAACACGTACTCTAGCTCCAAGAATATGATATATGCATAATGAGCCAGGCAGCTCAAGGCCAGAGGCCAGATGTTTTCCTTTACCCTAGCCTAAGAACAAAGACCACCAGTCCTGACCAATTAAACTGTAACATCTCATAGTTTGCCAATTGTTAACCAATCCAAAGATTGTAAAGCTGAGAAACCTGAGCTGTTTGAAAATTCTATAAAAACCCTGCAGACAATGCATTCGAGGCTCTTTCCCTATTCCGAAATGTCGGATAAGGTTAGAGACCTGGCTCGAGCTTGATTAAACAACCCTTATGTATTTGCATCGGTACACGGCTCCTGGGTGGTCTTTGGGGACCCTGAATTCTGGGCATAACAGTTCTATTGTGTCTCTGTTGTGACATCAAGCCACTTTTCTAGCAGTTTGAACCACCAGCCACTCCTTAAAAACCCTATACAGGGTCACTTTGAGTTGGAATAGACTTGAAAGCACTCAACAACAACAAGAGGATAACTGCTTTTACCAACAATATGAGTCAGAATTAAGTTCCTCAATAAATAATTGCTTTCCTTGAAAGAAAAATGAGTGTACAGTTATTTTCAGTCTAACCTAAGCTATCATCAACTGTTAAGATGTACCATAAGTATCACTAAAAAAGGTACTGCTGCCTGAGCTATAACACAATGTTTCTTATTACAGAGAATGCCTATTTTATATTTACCAAAAGAAATCTTTCAGCGTTAAAAGAATCAAATATGATTTGATCTTGTGTAGATGAAGCCATGTAAGAAGCAAAATAATAAGTTATGACAAACATTTCATATTCTGAATCACTTCAAGTTGCAGTCATTTTCCCACACATCAGCTTCCTGTGGAGAATACTGGTAAAACGGCATTTCCTAAGTGTGCGCTTGCTCTGCCACCATCTTCTGTTTCGTGTCAGCAGGAAGCTTAGGACAAAATTATGTCGGACACCCTGGTTAAGCACGAATAGGTCATACAACCTCTTGTTGCTTTGAATTTGTTTCATATATTCTAAGGGTTTGGATAATTTCTGCTGCTTTTAATTGTATCATTTGACATGTGATAGTCAATCCTTTTGCACGTGTCTTACTGACAGGATGTAGTACAACTTCATCTACTTCTGGATTTCTTCCTTAGCCTCCTGCAAAGCACTTTATTGTGGCTTTGCAAGAAAATATGGAATTAAAGTCATTATTCCAGCATATTAGCTTTACTAATATCAAATATGCACCCTGCAGCTGTTTCCATACCTTTCTGCAAACACAGTGAGTTTTCATTTCAATGTTAAATTGTAATCTTTATTTTTATTTTTTTAAGTTTTTATTGTGAATTGAGTGAACGTTTACAGGACAGATCATCGGTTTTACATTCAACAAATCATACACTTTTGTTTCATTGCAATGATTTATAATCCCCTCCAAAAACCATCAGTTAACAGTATTTTTCTCTATTCATTTTAGCTCTTTTTAAAAAAAAAAAAAAAACACTCAAGGCATATATAATAGTTTACACCACCAAAGGGCGCATTCTGCAAGTCCACCTCCTGGCTGCCAGCTCTCAGTCCCTCTCTTTCCATGAATCTTAGAGTACTCAGCTACTCTCTCTCCATGTCCCCATCTCTAGTGTCACTGCTTCGCTAGAAAAGGTCTCGCATTCTGCTTATGCTCTTCTCCCTTGATGTTTCTAGGGTCCTCTGTTTCTGAACTGTAAGATTAATCACTCCCCTGTTTTGTTACAAAACTTACACCTTTACAATTGTGACAGTCATGATAACAATTGCTATTGAATCATAAGAATCTTATTCCCATCTTTTTTTACCAGACCCATCTGAAAAAGTTGAAAACTATTCAATGAGGGCTTTTATCTTCCCACACACACTCTTAAACTAAACTCCCTCTTGAAACCTTGTAAGCCAGTCACTTTGTGCCTTTATTGCCCCCTCATTTTAGGTAGCCTGTCCCTATTTACCCTGTATAAAGGGGGATAGCATTGATACTTGATGTGAAGACTCCTTCCTTCTCTGTAGGTATTTTGAGCTACTACCTCCATGAGGATAGGTCAAGTTCATCAAATTGTAGCAATTTACTGTTGTTTCCTTTATCAAAAATAGTTTTCTGTTTTATCTTCCTCTAGTCGAGTTCTGATATAAAGCCATCGAGGCTGGGTCGAATGAGTACAATCTGCAGGTTTTGGTGTTCTTGTGCATCTCTCCTCACTTCATATCAGCTGGATGCTTCACTCTCAGCTCTAACCCTCTGTGGCTACATCGTTGTCAATGGGCTCAGGTGTCCCCAGGTCTCACCACACTTTGGACCAATCAGCCTTTCCTCTTCCCTCTCTCATCTCCAGGTCAATGGGAGTCCATGGAACGTGATTGAACTCAGCCCATTTCTTCACTGCTGCATTTCCCCCTTGTCCACTCATCAGTAAACCAATATGGTCGCCAGCAAGCTTACATGCCTGCTCAAACTCCTTTTGAGTTTCTGTCTTAAAGGGAAGGTTTGTCCTGAAGGGACTTGATTGCTTTCCTTAATGGCTTCCTGGCAAACAACTTGCTTATTCTTGTTGTAGCCAATCATACTGCCATTTTTGTTTCAGGTTTTTGCTGATGATTTTTCTTTGATATGTGTCATCTGTCACTTTAACTGTTCCAGGTGGAATGTCCCACCTCAGAAGGTTCTGGATGGGGCTCAGGATTCCACCTGAGGTCCTATACACCAGAGGCCTATTTCACTGGGCAAGTTGTAGAACCCCTTTTAGGTATTCCAGTCAGTTATAGGCTAAAGACTGGTGTACAAGCTTTCCATAATCATGTTTCCCGACATTCCTTTCTATCCCACTCAAATTTTACAATAGTAGGCAAAGGAAATCAAGATTCATAAAACAGGCATCTTAGTATTATTTCCCCTCTTCAGACTATGCCTTGATCCCTATATCACAGAGCCCTGTTGTTCCAAGGTTGAGCATGCATCACTATTTACCTCTGTCCCATTTAGTCCATTCAGACCTGTCTCAGTGTTCCCCTAGCTACCTTGTTCTTCCACCCCCTCCCCTTTCTTATGTATTGCCCTCCCCAACACCTATACTATGTGTCTGCCCCCTACCCTGTGCTCTACTGTCACCTCCCTCCACCTCCCCCAAACACCCCACCCCATCCCTACTGGTAACCGACAAAGAATTTTTTGTTTTTTCCCTTTTAGTGTGGGTATCTTTTCTTAAGCTTTTACAATATTGGTCATATGCAATATTTGTCCTTTTGTGACTAATTTCAGTCAGCATAATGTCCTTAAGGTTCATCCATGTTATGTGGTGGCTTTCTGCTTCCTTGTTATTCCTTTGATGTGCATATATCTACTCGTGTTAAGGCTTGTATTTCTTGTGGATGTATACCAAGTAGAGGATCATATGGTATTTCTATTTCTAACTTGCTGAGGAAGCGCTGTACTGTTTTCCAGAATGGTTGGACCATTTTGCATTCCCACCAGCTATGTAGGAGATTCCCAGTCTCTCTACATCCTTGCCAGCATTTATTGTCCTCTGCATTTTTTAACTTCACTATTACTGCTGGTGTGAGATGATATCTCATTGTTGTTTTGATTTGCATCTCTCTAATGGCTAGTGATCATGAACATTTCTTCATATGTTTGTTGGCTGCCCTAATGTCTTCTTTGGTGAAATGTCTATTTATGTCCTGTGCCCATTTTTAATTTGGGTTACTACTTGTCTTTGTCTTGTATAGGTGGTGTAGTTTCCTATAGATTTTAGAAATTAGTCCCTTGTCTGATATGCCATTGAAAATATTTTTTCCCATTCTCTGGGCTCCCTTTTTACTCTTTTGGTGACAGAGTAATCTTTTTGAAGGCATTTAAAAATGCCGTTTAAGCCTGATACCTTTGATACCAACAAGACATGGCTCCGTTATAGTGATGACACTCTGACAGGCTCTAACCAAGTTAACACATGCACAGACTACGACAATACATCATAGCTCTCACCGGGTTGATAGTAATTGTAAGATGTGTCCATATTTCAGAAAAGTTAAACAGTGAAGAAAAACATACATTTTTGTTGTTGTTAAGTACCATGGAGTCAGTTCCAACTCATAGTGACCCTGTACAGGGTTTCCAAGGCTGTAAATCTTTATGGGAGCAGAAAGCCTCATCTTTCTCCCACAGAACGACTGGTAGTTTTGAACTGCTGACCTTGGGGTTAGCAGCCTGATTTGTAACCACTATGCTAACAGAGCTCCTTAACACATATTTTGTTGTTGTTGTTGTTGTTAAGTGCCGTCGAGTCGGTTCCGACCCATAGCGACCCTGTACAGGGTTTCTTAGGCTGTAAATCATTTTAGGACTAATCAAATGTGGGATTTCAAATCTGTAATTACAGTGCAAACAAGCCAGAGAGTCAAGGAATACTTATAGAAGTAGAAAACTAGTAAAACTAAAGATTATGTCAGATGAAATTGTCCAATTTGGGTTCCGTTTCCTTTATTTCTATACGGCTTACATGTTTTTTGTTTTAAACTGAATGTAAAATCCAAATGTTCTTTAGTCTTTTAGTAAGTTAAAATAAAATCACTAAAGACAGAGGTCTCCAGATGCCTTTGATTATCTGCAAGTTAAGGCGTCATCTGGGGCCAGTGCCCTTCATCTGCAATTGCCCTCCTTTGGCTAGTGAATCTGATCCTATGTTGAGAGGATGCAGTGTCTCCTCCTGATTCTAACTCTGAAGGCTCATGATCTCCCAATCCTGTGTCTCCCTCCAGTTCCTGCAGCAACTTGAACTTAGATAATAAAAGATGCCACACAAAATACCAACCGCACATCTTCATTAGAAGGACTGTCAGCAGCATGGCCACTAACACCAGTAGCATCAGCCTGATGTCGTGCCACATCTTAGGGAAGGAGGGAGGCTGCATGGGACGGTGGGTAAGGACCAATGACGGCATGTCTTGGCTTTAGCAATGGCAACATGCTTGATAGGGCAGGGTAGCAGATGGCTTTCTGCAGCATGGCACTGCCACCCCACCAATCCTCCCACTGGCACCAAGGGGCAAGATAGCCAAAGGGATGGTCCCACGTGACACCCCTATGGACTCATCAGCTCCAGCATCCAAGGGACTAGACAGGGTGCACTTCCCTAGTGAAGGGATGCACACCTACGATGGGAGAAAGCACGAGAAAAGGGTGTCCCACCACAGGGTCTCTTGACCCCCAGTCATGGAGAATGCTAATGTGTCTACATGGCTGTCTCTGCACCAAGCCTAGTTGCAATACTTTTTGATTCACACTAGTAATGTTATAGTTAGTGCCATCGAGTTGGTTCCGCCTCATAGCAACCCTATATAGGGTTTCTGAGGAGCAGCTGGTAAGTTTGGAAATCCTATGCAGGGTCACTGTGGGTCGGAAATGACAGCACTTAACAACAACAACAACAATGAAGACCTTAGTTGTTTGTATATTTGAGAGTGGGCACACTTATTTAAGATTCTGTTTTGTTTTTTCAGAATGCTGATCATTGCTTCATGACTGTCATTTTAATGAGCAATAGACTTTGGACTTTTACTTTACATATGTATGCAGGGTAGGATGTGTTGTACACATTGGTGGTGGTGGAGTACATTTCGATTCATCAGGGACCTTATGTTTCTGCAGCTATAAATGTTTACTGGAACAACAAGCCTCATCTTTCTCCCGTGGAACAGCTGGTAGTTTCAAATTGCTGACCTTGAGGTTAGCAGTCCAACTCATAACCCCTATGCTACTAGAGCTCCTTATTTTACACACTAGTACATAGGATATTTAAAAATTATACTAGATTATTTGAACCATTTCATGGTGACAACTCCTTTAAAGGAGCAATCTAACCATATGTGTGGTATGGATTCTAATCTCCAGTCTGGATGTCATAATTACTAATTTACTGAAAAATTTCCAAGCTATACACACTATTGTTTGTTGTTGTTGTTAAAGTGCCATTGACATGGTTCCATCCCATAGAAACCCTGTTTAGGGTTTCCTAGGAGTGACTGGTGAGTTTGAACCACCAACTTTGTAGTTCAAACCAACTTTGCAGTTCAGCACTTTAACCCACAGCACAACACCAGGACTCCATAGCCCACCATAGATCATGTGTTACTCTTTATAATTAGGTTTTATGGATTCAAAGTATTTATTGTTGTTTTTAAGTGCCATCAAGTAGGTTTGACTCAGCAATCCTGTTAAGAGTTTTCAAGGAGCAGCTGGTGGGTTTGAACTGTTGACCTTATGGTTAGCAGTCCTGTGCTTATCCTATAGTGCTATACCATGTCTCTGTTAACTGTATCTGAAAGGAATTTGTGTTACGATTCTTCAGTCTTTTCTTCAAATTGCAAGGAGGAGTTGGCTCTGATATTCCTTAGTATTTAGTAGGAAAAGACTATTAGCATAAGGAGGTAGAGTTTTTTGGCTACAGCTGTTTCTATAAGTCTTTGGATTAGTCCCCTTATACAAGGTATAATACAACAACCCATGAATATTAGAACTCCAAATACAATAATCAATGATGTGAGGACCGAAGTCATTAATCCTTTCCATTTTCTACTGGACGCTTCACTCTCAGCTCTAGCCTTCTGTGGCTGTGTCCTTGTCCTTGGGCTCAAGTGTCTTCATGTCTTACCACACTTTGGACCAACCAGCCCTTCCTCGTCTCTCTCTCATCTCCAGGTCCACGGGAGTCAATGGACTGTGATTGAACTCAGCCCATTTCTTCATTGCTGCCTTTCCCCTTCTTTCACTCACCGTTAGACCAATGTGGTCGCCAGCAAGGTTACATGCTTGTTTGTGTGTTCCCTTTGAGTTTCAGTCTTAGCACAGGGGTTTGTCCTGAAGGAACTTGATTGCTTGCCTTGATGTCTTCCTGGCGAACAGCTTGCTTATTCTTGTAGTAGCCAGTCATGCTGACATTTTTGTTTGGGGCTTTTCCTGATGATCTTTCTTTGAAGATGTATCTTCTGTCACTGTAGCTATTCCAGGCTGGTCTTCTGGTCCTTTCTATTGAGAGTGTCCCACTTCAGAAGGTTCTGGATGGGACTCAGAATTACCCCTAAGTTTCTATACTCTGTAAAGGATTTGCAAGAGGCCTATTTCACTGGGCAAGTTCTAGAACCCCTTTTAGGTATTCCAGTCAGTTATAGGCTGAAGATGGGCTTACAAGTTTTCTGTGATCATGATCCTCAACATTCCTTTCTATCCCACTCAAGTGTCTATTTTACAATAGTAGGCAAGGGAAACTAATATTCATAAGACAGTCAAGCATTTCAGTATTATTTCCCCTCTTAAAGCTATGCCTAGATCTGTGTGTCACAGAGCCCTGTTGTTCCAATGTTAAGCATGCATCACTATTTACCTCTGTCCCACTTAGGACATGCAAACTTGTCTCAGTGTTCCCCTATCTACCTTGTTCTTCCACCTCCTCCCCTTTATTGTATTGCCCTCCCCAACACCTGAACTAAATTCCCCACCCCAACCCCATTAACTCTTCCCTCCATTTAAGACATTCTGTTTTATTCTGTAATCTACTTGACTTTCCCACCACCTGGATCTGTGTTCCTCTGTGTTTACCTTCTTTCACATTGTAATTGTTTTGATCATAGACTGACCTTCCAGATCCTCTGTTCTTATCATTTTATTCTGTTCTTGCCTCTTTCATTTGTCGACTGAGTTTAGAGTGATGCTGCCACATAGGGCATTCTATACTTGTTGTCTGTTCTTACTGGTTCTCAGTCCACAGAACTTCCTTTAGGATGTTTTTCATAGCAGGGTTGACTTTGGCAAAATCCCTTAGCTTCTGTTTATCCTGGTATGTTTTGATTACACCATCATATTTGATTGACAGCTTTGCTGGGTAGAGGATTCTTGGGTGGCAGTTGTCTTCTTTCAGGGTTTTATATATGTCTCCCCATTGCCTTCTTGCTTGCATGTTGTCTGTTGTGAGAGCTTAATCTGATTTCTTTGCCTTTGTATGTTACACTTCTCTTTTCCCTAGCTGCTTTCAGGATTCTGTCCTTATCTTTTATTTTGGAGAGCTTGATTATTACATGTCTTGGTGATTGTCTTTTAGGGTCTCTCCTTCCTGGGGTTCATTGAGCTTCTTGAATGCTTATCTTTTTGCTTTTCAGAATATTAGGAAATTTTCCTTCCAGAAGCTCTTCAGTTATCTCCTCTGTGGACTTGTGTGATTCTTCCTGCTCTGGAATGCCAATAATTCTTTTAAGTTATTCCACTTCATGTTGCCCATCCTGAATCTTAGGCTTTCTTCAGATTTTTTTAAGTCTTTTTTTGTGTTTGCTCTTCTATCTTAGTAGTGTTGAGAGATTTATCTTCTAGCTCACTAGTTCTGGCTTCTAACTCTTTGATTCTACTCCTTTGCCCTTTTAATTTGTTGTCCATTTCTGATATGCTATTATTAATCATTTGGACCTCTTTCTGTAAATTCTGAATTGTTTCCAATGCTGTATCTGTCTGATTTGATTGTTCCTGTAGTGCTTTTCTGACTTCTTCTTTATTTTTCTCAACTCCATTTATAGTGTTTTGATACCTTTTATAATCATCAAGTAGGTTTGACTCAGCAATCCTGTTTAGGGTTTTCAAGGAGCAGCTAGTGGGTTTGAACTGTTGACCAAATCTCCCACCTCACCCCCACTGGTAATTGACAAATAATTTTTTTTTCCCTACTTAGTATGGGTATCTTTTTTTTAAAGTTTTTACAGTAATGGTGTTATGCAATATTCACCCTTTTGTGACTGACTGATTTCACTCAGCATAATGTCCTCAAAGCATAATGTCCATGTTATGTGGTGGCTTACAGTTTCCTTATTATTGTTCAAGGTAGCATAATCCATTTTGTGTATGTACCAAAGTTTGTTTATCCATTCTTCCATTGATGGGCACTTAGGCTGTCTACATCTTTTTGCTTTCCCTGCCTTGGTCTGTGCAGTTACCTGGTCACCATGGTGCTTGTTTAGATCTTTCTACCTGCATTGCCAAGAGTCTGGGTTTTTCGCTTCCTTGGGAGGCTTCAGCTGCTCTTACCCAAGGGCTGCTCTGACTAGGCAGTGGGATGTGTCTCCCTTAGGGGTGAGGACCAAAGCTCCTTTGCAAAGGGAAAGTCAAGTCCCACATTGGGCACCAAAATGTTAGAAACGTGACTTGATGTCACAACATAGACACAAAAGAACAAAGAATCTTGGCAAGGCAATTTTGACCTGCAGAAGGGTGCACAGCAGCACAGAGTCTGTCGAACAAGCACACCGGCAGGCAGTCCACTCAGGTTTTATCCCTGATGTGATGTGAAAGGGGCTGAGTCTCACTCTTTTGGTTAGGGTTTCAATCACACAGTCTTGTCTTTTACCCAGTTGGCTAATTGTAATCTAAGGCTATATCTCACCCTATTTGTTAGGTTTCTACCACACAGTCTTACCCCCTATCTGATTGGTCAATTTGAATGGTCCTTGAAGGGAGTGGGTTTCAGGCTGGAGAGATTTGGAATGTCTTTGTTCTAGGAGGTGAAAGCACACCAAGAACTGGTTTTAGCCGGTCTTGGTTAGGTTGCAACACAAATACAGGAACAGGGGTGTTTTTTCAACATGGGTTAGAACCAAATTTGTCTCATTTCAGCTGTAACCCCATCTCATAGCTTTTTTTTTTTTTTTTAATTACTTGATTTTACAGCCATCATGAGATTAAATTTGAAGCACATAGAAACCCAGAATAAAAGACATATAGGAACTTTATGTCTTTTTTTAAAGAAGAGCTGAAAGACATACAGGAACTTTATGTCTTTTTTTAAAGAAGAGCATCAGCTACATCACTGAAAATTAATTAGATCATAAAGAATGGAAATTGTGGAAATAAA